TCCCCGTACGCGTATGAGCATTTGTCGGGTTTATACCTAGGGAAGTAGGTGGTAGTAGCTGTATTTATAGAGAAGCACGGTTGTGTCGGGGTATATTGATCAAGTACTTGGTGGTGATACACTGAAAACGCTGTACGCAGAAATCTCGGGCTTTGGATAATTCAAACCGAGCATCGCCATCTGGGCCTCGTCTTCCAAGGCTCAGTGCAATGAAGAGTCTATCGTTACCCCAGCACCGCAACCACTTCCAGCTTCGAGAAGTGAAACGTGCAGAGGCCTTCACCCTTTTCATCCCCGATGTCCATAATAGAGAACGCCTGACCGTATGCATCATGCAAAGCACCGATATCCTAGCCAGCCCTGGCCAAAAGAATTCGTTTCCCGGAGCGGCATACTCCGACCGACCTAGTCTCGAAGCCACGCCCTGCGCTTCTCCTCCTTTCTTGCCTTGCGCTTCTCCTTGAAGTGCTTGAGCTCCGACTTGGAGGGCTTCTTGCCGGAGCGCTCGGCCTTGAGGCTGCGGCCGTCGTGCAGGTTGGCGGCCGCGTCGACATCGAAGAAGGCGTTCATCTGTCTCCTCGACTTGGACTCGTCGTTGTGGCGGTCCGGGTTCTGGTCGCTGGCCTGCCACTGACCGGTGAAGCGGTTGAAGTTGCCCATGGCAGCATAGGCGGCCGCCGCGTCGGTGGGGGCGCCTTCCGACTCGGCGGCTTCACCGCTGTTCTGTGCGTACCAGGCGTTCGGGTCGTAGTCACCATGGATGGCGGGGTTGTAGCCTCCAGCGGGAGGGCGCTCGAGCTGGGGCGGCACGGCGGTATTGGGTGGAGTCTGGAGTTGGGAGACCTCTTGGGGGGCTGCTGGGCCAGCCTTGGAGACTCGTGGGTTGTCCCATGTGGACTGGTTGGTATATCTGTTGAAGAAGAACCAGGCGTTCTGACTCGCATCCCAGTGACAATCCCAGCCATCATCTTCCCCGGGCAGCGGTTCTTGGGGTACCGGGGGTGCTTCTGGCTTATTGGGTGTCAGGGCCTGGGGTGCCACTGGGGAAGCCTCGCCGGATTCCTTCGATCGGGATGATCCAGTAGGGCTCTTGCTGGCGTCATCATGGTCGCGAACATCGTCGTCTGGGCGGTCTGGACTCGGCTCTGGTGCATTCTGGTCTAAGGCAATGTCACGGCTGGGCTGCTCAGCCTCAGACGGCTTGGGAGACACAGGATGAGAGGCCATGGCTGCAGAGGATCTAGAGAACGGTTATCACCAGCGTCATGGAGAGATGCAGAAACTGTATGCTGGAGGATACATGCTGGCTGGCTGAGGCGAGAGAGCACGCGCAACGACAGGACTTATAGTTATTGTGCGTCGGTCACAAGGAACCTGGAATCGATGCTGAGACACATCCAAGGGCAAAGCCGGGGTGGATGATGATGAAGGTTGTCCTGCTTCTGGTCACTTCACTGCAGGAGAAGCGTGGCTTATCGGTTATCGGCTAAGTCGGGTCTAAGAAAGCACATCAAAGTGGAATCCGCCAATCAGAGTTCATGACCAGGCGCTTGGGGATACCTTTATCCGGTCACGGCCCCTGTCCAATCCCCTGTCTGCCGCCGAGCTAAGCCACTTCTCGGGCCACTTCCATACCACTTGACGTCCCCTTGCTCTGCCCCTTGCTGGTGATCAGGAGTGCTGCATGCATTGATGGAGATCCTCAGGTCCAACACTCTCTCAGGTCCTCAGCTCAGATCAGTGGTCAGAAGCCACTGGTAATTGTCGAGAATGCGTCGAGTGTTCGTCTCATTATTCTGAGCCCCCTGCCTCTTTGGTCTCCCCACCGGCTCGTGCTGGCCAGTCAACCATGCTACGCAGCCGTGCTCCAAAATGCTCAAAGAGCCGCTCGATCCTTTCCGCTGAAATGAAGTGTAGGCCCAGGAGTGCGTGGCATGGAAGCTCTAGTATCTGTGATGTCCCATCTTCGCTATTTTCTTGGTTTGTGTTGCCAGACCTGTGTCCCGATCTAGGCAGGTATAGTTACCTTAGGTATGAGACGCATGTCAGACCCCTCAGCCTCTTTGCTAGTACTACAGCTGTTCGTGGTCTTTTCCGAGGCTGTGCTGCCGTTTGGATCTGGCCATGATGAGCCCAGGGGCTCTTCACCTGCAGATGCCCAAGTCGTCTCACATACACCCGCAGCCCCATTTCTCTCCTACGAGTATAGTCATCTTAATATGATCTGCATCACAAGGGCTAGTAACAAGAGCCTTGGACTTTTTCCAGAACAACCGCTTGCCTACCTATCTACATACACAGTATACCTCGCCCAGCAACTTTGATAATCCAGGCATGCTATGGGTCAAGGTATGGCTGACCGCTGTCCTTACCTTGTATACCAGCAAGTCATATTTTTACTTACCTAGCTTAAACAAACCCCTGAACCCAATGCCAGAATATTGGTGCCTCTCGCTAAATTGTCCATGGAAATAGGCACAAGGTGACAATGGGGCTCTTGGATACACTTCAGTCACATATATCTGACCATCGTGGATTACACAAGGAGGCCAGGGCCAGCATGGTCCCTCATCAAGTTACCATAAACTATTATGCCATAACAGTCTTGGTGGCGTTTCTTTTCACCGAGGCAGAGTTGGCTTTTGAAGGTTCCACTTGTTGATGATACCTTTCCTATGCGATAGTCGTTTCTCCGGCCCAGAGTAATACCGCAGCTTGGAATCAAGATGCCCATGAGCTTGATCCTGGTATGCTCAAGAGTATTAAGGCTCAGCATGACCATGACATGCTTGAAACCAACGCGATTATTCTGAGAATCTCGAATAAAAATGATCTACACGCCTTTCGATGGCTTGATAGTGAGATAAGTCGGTGAGTATCAGGCCAGAGTACAGCACTGATGTTGGTGACCTGGCCAGCTTTGAGGCTTTCCTTGAGGACATTTAAAGGGCCTTAGCCCTTAGGTTTACCGCAGCCTCAGATAATAGGTCAAAGGTACTGTTTACAGGTTCTAGACGTAGACAGGTAAAGAAGAGATTGATTTAGATATTACCTGTTTCCCAATATCTGCTGCACAGCAATAAGAAATAAAACAAGCTTACAGCAGTTCCACAATGCTTTAGGAGTAGTTATTTTATGTTGTCAGGTGTGGGAACTAGGATAAACAGATGACTGTCCGAGCTAAGAACATCATTGATGTGGTGGTATCTCTGCCACTGCAATGACAATCAGGACTGTTTACTCATTTTTTCCTCGAGTGACACTAAGTGCTTCATCTCAACTTCATCACAATGCTCTGCAAGCCATTCTCGACAACGCTCCCTGTCATCCACCTCACCCTTGAGGGGAGCACCGGGGCCTGTTCTCTCCCAATATGGCTGCTCGAACCACTCGGGCCAGAAGCCGCCGTATTCCCAGTCGATTATAGCATTAATCTTGAGAGTCTCGGGGTTGACGATGACGTTATGCTGGCCCAGGTCGTTATGGCAGAACACATAATCTCCGTTCGCGATGTCAGTCTTGGGCCGCCAGCAGCTGTGTTGCTTCCAGAAGCGGCTGTGCACCCGATTCGGCGCGCAAAGCAGGTTCTGGCCAGGCACGCCAGGGGTCACTGATCGGAGCGTCTTGAGCGTTGTAATGTGCTTACGCAGCTCCTTGGTCACCACTAGCTTTTGCTCCTCGGGAAGCTGGGACATGTTGACACCCGGCACAAGTTCGGTGCTGAAGTAAAAGGCCCCGTCGTCCTCGAAGGTATGCTGCAGGCGCGGCAACGGGATGTTTGTCTCCTCTCGGAGATACTCAAGGATCGCAGCGTCCGTTGTCCATTGCTGAGGGAGACTGGCGGGCGGCTTCCAGTTCGATGCCGTTGTGATCCATTCGTGCGACCGTAAAGTACGCTTAATAAACGAGTTTCCCACCTCGTAATACTTCTTGTCAATAGTAATTCCACTACAGCCTGCCTCGCGGTGTTTGTTAAGTTCTTGGGTGGAGACCATTGCTGGTAACTGGGAGCAGTCCGCGCGAAGAGGTGGCAAGAAACAGTCGGGACCCTGCCAGTGGAAATGGAATTATAAGCGAGGGATTGAACAAATCTCTGTGAACGACAAGCTTAAGCACATTGCTATAACCAAGCTGAAGTAGAAGCATGGCTATTTTGAAGACTGGTAGAAAATGTGAACTAAAATACCGGTATGGAGGAGAGTGCCGCCTGGTGCGGTAACTACTAAGTACAGGTGATACAGAACCCTGCCCTACCCATCTGGTACGTACATCTCCAATGGCTGGGATTGTGATTGGAACCCCAATCATCTGGCCGAGAGATTTATCGCGTTGCCGACAATCATCCTTCTGGGGAACTCTCAGACTCCAAGAGCCCAGTAAAGCCCGTTTCTAATACCCCTCAGCTTAGAACCTCGCACACCTGGCTTAGATATACCGGTAAATGCAATACTACCTGAGCCTTGAAGTGTAAAACACCATTCAAATCTGAGGTTGGCTTTTGGACTTATACACAGAATGCCTGGACTCATGGCTACACCCTTGTCGCAAAGGGCATGGAGGCTTCATACGTCTATTACCTACAGCATGAGACCAAGGGCTAGGGGTCCCAGGTAACCACGCAACCTATCAGCAACTCATACATGTTATCACACCAGGGCGGTTATAGTAGGATGTAGCGTGGGCGAGCTGCTTAGGAAGCATATGCATATAACTTAGAAGCCGATAATGGCAAAACTTGCATACCTACCTCTAGGTAGGTAAGTATGTAAAGGCTCAGCCAAGTCCCTATCTAAATGTTTGTAGGCCCCTTTAAAGATGGGAAAGCAAGTGAGCATAACGGGCAAAGACATCTAGAGTTGTAATAGCTGTGCAAAATATCCAAAAGAGCAATCGGTTCAGTCAGACAAATGAAGAATTAGAGCATAGACAATGCAGTGATGAGGGAGGCACAGGAAAAAAACAATCACTTCGAATAAGAGAATGGAATTCAACAAAAAGCATAGTCTCATCGAGGTTCGAACTCGAGACCTTGTCGGCATCCTTGAATGTGAACGACACGTCATAACCAACTAGACCATGAGACTGTCTTATCGGATTGCGCCGTTATTGCACTCCTTATTACTTCTACCACGCCAATTGGCAGAGGATGCTCGAGTGGATATTCACGTAATACAATCCCCAGCATCACGGATAGAAAGATACTAGATAGGTCCCTCTATCGATAGCGCGGGGCAGTCCGAATCTAGGCGGGGATCTCATGCATGGCATGATCCATGCACCTTGTGAAACAGTCTAATTGCCCCACCAAGCCCAGATGGTTGCTGTGGAAACGGCTTTTGCTCAGCCCATCCGCGAATAATAGCCCGAGTCCGCTATTGTTGATCAGGCGAGTCAGTGCAGCTCCTCGCGACTTCCCCTCCATTTAGATGGGTAGCCCTCTGACTGGCTGAACACGCTCACCGCAATCTTTAAGACACCGCACCCCAGCTGGACTGTTCCATTGCAGCTGCTCGCCATCTACGGAGTACGTTGACGTGCATTGCATGACTCCGTATCTCGAGGTGTTTTGTTTGTTCTCGATCGTCCTACGATGGAGAATTAGCTTCTGCGTTTCCTGACCCTCGAGCGCCTTCACCACAAACAACCCTATTTGCCGGGACTACGGCGGCGGGCGGCTGCGGAACCGCATAACGATTTTCAGCGCCGCTTCAATCTAGCGTTGCTCCGCGTTGACATCTGGTCCACGCAATTCTTCACTTCGCGATCGCCCCCGGCATCAACATTACATTCCTGAAACCCTGCACTCTTTTTTCACGCCTTGTCGCGATCGCATTGTCCACCATGGACGCCAGCTACCTGTCGCAGCAGGTCAACAGCATCATTGGCCAGCTGCATGGTCTGTTTGACGAGATTGGTGTTCCCAGCCATGACCGCGAAAGCCGAGAAGCAGAGGTAAGAGACAAAAACGGCGCAGACTTCAGACTTATGCGAGACACGCTAACGGACGCGCATTCCAGCTCTTCTCGGCTCTGTCCGCAACCCTCAACAATCATGTCAAGGCGGTGACGGCGGAGAAGAAGGGGATGGTCGAGGAAGCCGAGCGCATCATCTCCGTCATCCGCCAGATGGAAATATCGCTTGATGACTCCAAAGGGCAACGGGGCTATGCTTGCGATGGCGATAGCCTTCAGATCACGTACCCTCTTGCGCAATGCCTCCGCGTACTGAAGGAGAAGCACATGCAGATAACCAAGCTCCACCGTGAGCGGTTCGAACAAGTCAAAAGTAGGTCAGGTCGCGGGCACGCGCCTCGGCGCAGTGAGAGAACAGGCTGACTGACTTATGGTGCAGAGCTTGTCCATGCCTTGGAATCATATTCCTCCCATCTCGAACCGACCTTTGTCAAGATTGCATTACCCCCCACAGGCCCGAATCAGTCCTTGCCTCCAACATTCGACCTATCCCCTTCCTACGTCGACCAATTAGATAATGAGTTCAGCCGAGTCTATGAAGAGTACACTCATCGAGTAGAGACGGTGAAGTCCTGGTCGGAGGACATCATACAACTATGGGCAGAGCTGGGCACGCCTCAAGCTCAGACCGACGGAGCTATTGTAAAGTACTACCGAGATGCCCCGGAACAACTGGGACTGCACGAGGACGATCTTGCGAGGCTGCGAAACAAAAGAGACAAGCTGGCCGACGAGAAGAAAAATCGCGAGAAGCGCCTGAGAGATCTTAAGACGGCTGTCGAGGCGCTGTGGGAGAAGCTTGGTGTGGACGAGTCGGAACGGAAAGCGTTCCTCAACGGCAATCGTGGCTGCGGTGTCCGACAGATCAACGAGTTCGAGGACGAGCTAGGCCGACTGAACGAGTTGAAGCGCCAGAACTTGCACGTATTCGTCGAAGATGCGCGCTTCAAGCTCCAGGAGCTCTGGGACGCGCTGTATTTCTCTGAGGACGAGATGCTCGAGTTTACACCGGCCTTCTCTGATGTGTACAGCGATGCGCTCCTTGAGGCTCACGAACGAGAGATCGCGCGCCTCGAAGCCCTGCGAGAACAGCGCGCGCCTACCCTCACCCTGGTCGAGAAGCACCGGACTCTCGTCCATGAACGAGACGAGCTCGCTACATCGAGCCAAGATGCATCTCGCCTCATGATGCGCGGCCAAAAGGGAGAAAGGAGAGATCCAGGCAAACTCTTGCGGGAGGAGAAGATGCGAAAGAGGATCGCCAAGGAGCTTCCCAAGGTGGCGGCAGAACTGAGCAAGATGCTGTCCGCATGGGAGGACGAATACGGGCGCCCATTCCTCGTGCACGGCGAGAGATACCTGGACCTGCTGGAGCCTGAAGAGCCAAGAGTCGCGCCGACAACGCGATCTAAAACACCAGCAGGCCCTCCACCGTCGACAGTCAAGGGACCCAAATCCGCATCGCATAGCCGTTCGAACAGTACTGTCAGCAGCAGACCCCCGACCAGGTCCAAGACTCCGACGGCAAACCCGACCGGCACGATCAGGAGGGGAGCGCCGCCGAGTCATCCCCAGAAAGACCCCAAAGGGAGCCCTTCTAGAATCCCCGCGCGAGCGCCTCTATCCAACCTCAAGCACGGCAACAACTCGCCCGAGAGGCAGCGACCTGAGTCTCGAGCGCAAGGCACGCTTCGAGCGGGCCACCCCCTGACGCGAGCCCCGCCTCCCAAGATGAGAGAGCTGCTACCTCCTCCGGAATTCGACACGCCAGTCCAACCGTACCGGAATCCTGACCTCGGATCGAGCGTTCACGTGCGCGCGGTAGAGCCTGAGGACCCGTACGACGACCGAAACTCGTACCCGAACCCTGGGCGGTCCTATACGTCGCAAAACTCTCTCCGCAGTGAGCGACAGCCGAACCCCTATCCAATGGCGCCTCCTCCGAGACAGGCGTCGAACACATCAACGTTGATATCCGGCTCTGAAAATTGGGAGACGTACGACGACAACTCGGAGCCGGAGCAGGATGCCTCAGACACGTACTACGCCAAGGTGCGAGCGGCAAGGGGCAAGCGGTTCACGCCAGAGGATGGATATTCGCGAGCGCAGGCCAACCAGGCCAAGCGCCAACGCGGTCTTCCGCCGGCCATGCACGCTGGTGGGCATGGTATGATCGATGCCGAAGGCAACCGGATCATTTCGGGGAGCGAGTGGACTGATGAGGATGCTTTCTAAACGGCTTTCCGCCTATTCTTTCTTGCATGTCCAGATGATCATGAAGTTTGGCGCACCACGTATCTCACGATTACGAATCATGGCGTGCGTCTCCGGCTATTTGAAGGTCGATGGGCTCTTTCCGGCCGACACCGGCCAACTGTCACTTTTCATTTTGTCTCTTTTCACACACTGGACGCTGCGGCTTCTGGTGGCTGTCTACACTGCATGGGTTGTCTTGTGGGGGATAAGCGCCGAAATGGGCTTTTGATCGTCGGCTGACGACGACAAATGAGACGTCAAGTCTCGGTGTACCCAACCGCCGCTGACTCTGCCTACTACTCACGCACCTGCCTACAACTAAGTCTCTTGTCGGATACTACTTGGAAAGGAGATTTCGCTGGAAGCGATGGAGTCTATATGGAAGGTGAAGTCGATATGGAAGCGGTGGAAGCGGAGGTCCTGGCACGGCATTTCGGCGTCCCGAGTGTGCACCGGAGTTGGGTGACTTAGATTTTCCCCTTCTCTTTCATAACTTCATTGCAAAAGCAAACAGATGTAGGACTTGTTGTAAATGATAACAATCGAGGTTGTCTGGTTTAAAGCGCAAAGTGCGGATGGGGAGAGGCAATGACTCGGCTGCTCTGGCAGAGCCAGGTTGTAAGTCGGACAGTGAGTGTGATCCCCGTACTCCGTACTCCGTACATGCATGCTGTTATTATGCGCGGGGCGTGCATTGGCCGGCATTGCATATCGGTGGATTCATTGCGAGACGGCGTCAGGAGTCCAAAAACCAAGAGCACAGCCCCCGTACCTTGGCCCGTACGTCTCAGTCAGCATCCGTCTCAGCCTTCTACCACCTTACTCAAGTGCTTGACCTCGACCCTCGGCGTCCTACAACATGCTCCAATGGCGTGGCCGGTGCGGACGTACTCCCTCGATTTCCTCTCTCGTACCCCGTGCGCCTGCAGCCGATGTCTGAGCCACTAACTTGATGCCGTCTCCGTCCCGGCTGTACGTGCCGTCTCTCACATCTGAGCCTCATGCACTTCAACGCTCCTCACCACTCTCGACTGCCGCCCTCATCCTCTGCTGGTCACGATGACGCGCCAGCGAACAAGGCAGCTTTGAAGGGTGCCACCCTCGCTTTCCAAAAGACAGCCCAGAACCCGCAGCGCACTCCGGCGTCCGCTGGCGCAAATCGCGGCAATGGCGCACTCATTGCGGCCACCTCGGCCTCGCGTGACCACAGTCTCTCGACATCTCCCTCACAGACCCAGTCTTCCCAACTGAGCCGCCAGAACACCAGCAGTAATGCCCCAGGACGGCTCGAACCTAATACCGAACGTGGCAACAAGCACGGTATGGCGGATCCGCGTGCGCCATCCTTCATAGCTGCCACTCTTGCTGCCAGTCGGTCTGCTAGCCCCAGCCCGAACGCCAAAGCTCAGTCGCACCCGTACGTCCAGCAAGCTACGAGGATGAGTCGAAGAGGAAGCATCGCCAGTCACAGCGCCGCCAGCTCCGCGAACAGCCTCGATCTTGCCACCGATTCGACTCCCATACCACCCACGAACGCGCTCATATCCATGTTCGAGAAAGGGGGAGACAACAGAGAGCCAGTCAAACGAAAACAGCACCAGCCGCCGGGTGTCAAGCCGAAACCACGGCTGTTGACGCCACCTAGGGCCCTCAGCCCTGTCGCTAAGCACGAGATTTGTCCGTCGAGGCTAGCCAGTACTTTGGCATGGGAAAGAGCTGCGACCCCCCCAGCTTCGACGGCGGTTACGGCTTCAGAAAAAAGGCAACAGAATTCTCCTGTTGACTCCAGGAAGCATCCCCCTAGCCCTCCACCGACTCGGAAGAAAGGTGATGCGAATGCTGCAACACCTGCAGCA